GGCGTACCCTTGATGACAGGCCCATATGTTTTAACTGTTGACGCGTTGGTCATATCGCCCGTCACTGCCGCAACCGCGAAGCTTCACCGTCACATTATGCGCCTCAGTCTCACGCCACTTGTGTCCACCAGTTGTCCGCATCACTTTCTCTATCAATGCCGACCACATTTTCCGCTCCTGAAGCACCTCTGACCAGACCTTGCTAGGACTGATCACCGTCCCCTGCTCGTCGTCAGCCCCGGTCGCCCCCACAACGCCGTGATGCCTCCCCGACCTATCGTAGCACCTCCGACCGGAAAAGTAGGCCGTGCAGCTTCTGCAGGTGGAGCTGCGTTGACGACCTTCGTGAAATCCTCACTTAACGTTAGCGACGAACCGGAACCGGAACTGCTTTTACAGTGCTACTAATTTTTCAACTATTGACCTTCGGTCAGGCTACTGGCAAATAGCCGTCGACGAGATGGATCGCGAGAAGACCGCATTAATCACTCCTGATGGTCTTTACCAGTTTAAGGTGATGCCCTTTGGTCTCTGCAATGCGCCAGCCACATTTGAAAGAATGATGGACTCATTCCTCTAAGGGTTGAAAAGGTCCACCTGCTTGTGTTACCTTGATGATGTTACTGTCTTTTCGCCCACATTTGACTCACATCTCGATCGTTTATCTGCTATTCTGGACGTTTTTTATCGAGACAGACTCCAGCTTAACGCCTCCAAGTGCCACTTCGCTCGTCGTCGAATTTCCGTGCTCAGTCACCTTGTCCATGGCCATGGCGTGCGTCCAGACCCAGAGAAAATTCACGCAGTCGAAAACTTTCCCGTTCCGAGGACAACAAAGGTTTTCCGCAGTTTTGTGGTGTTGTGCTCCTATTTCAGACGCTTTGTTGAGGACTTTGCGACGATGGCACGCCCCTTCACAGACTTCTTAAAGAAAGACGCCTCGTTTATCTAGGGCCATGACCAAGCATCATCGTTTTCCCAACTTACGACCATGCTTACAACGCCACTAATCTTGGCTCACTTTGATCTAATAGCCCCAACTGAGGTTCACATGGATGGCAGTGCACACGGCATAGGTGCTGTGCTGTTGCAGCACCAACAGGGACATGACCGTGTTATAGCCTACGCAAGTCGACTGCTATCTCCAGCCGAGCGCAACTATTCCATCGCGGAGCGCGAGTGCCTCGCCCTTGTATGGGCAGTTGCCAAGTTTCGTCCATACCTGCACGGGTGCTCATTCCGGGTTGTCGCGGATCATTCCGCCCTCTGCTGGCTAGCCTCCCTGAAGAACCCCAGAGCTGTCTCGCTCGTTGGGCCCTACGCCTCCAAGAATACACGTTCTCTGTAATGCATAAAACAAGGCGATTACATCAGGATGCGGATTGTTTATCTCGCTACCCTGTGGATGAAGCAATCAATACTGACGCTATCGTGGACGGTTTTTCTGTGTCGCATCTGCTGAACATTGGTGAAGATAAACGTCGGGATGCTTCTTTACGAGCCATCATTGACAAAATGGAGTCAACGCCTCGCGACCCGTCCCTACGAATGTTTTTGGTGAAAGACGGGATCATATACCGCCGTAACCTTGATTCCCTCACATCAGACTTACTTCCTGTCATCCCTGTGCACCTGCATTCCACTTTCCTGCCCCAACTTTATGCCACTCCGATGACGGGCCATTTGGGCGTTTCTCGCACATACGATCAGATACGACGTTGGTTTTTTTTACCTGGACTCGCCCACTATGTTTGACGCTATGTCGACGCTTGTGAGCCCTGCCAGCGTCGAGAACCGTTGTCTGCCCTCCCAGGCGGCTACCTTCAGTCAATTGACGTTCACATTGAACCTTTCTTTCGAGTTGGCCTCGACCTATTGGGCCCTTTTCTACTCTCCGCAGCCGGAAATAAACAGATTGCTGTTGCCACAGACTACGCGACGCCGTACGCAATCACACGAGTGCTCCCGACCAGTTGCGCTACCGACGTTGCGGACTTTCTGTTGTACGACATAATATTAGTGCACGGTGCTCCACGCCAACTTCTCACTGACCGTGGCCGCATGTTCTTATCAGCTGTCGTTCACGAAATCCTGAGGTCTTGCCATACCAAGCAGAAACTTACAACTTCGTACTATCCCCAGACAAATGTCCTCACGGAGCGCCTCAACAGGACCCTAATTGATATGCCTGCCAAATACGTTGCGCCAGACCACCCGAATTGGGATATTCATTTGCCTGCCATATGTGACGTTCACCTACAATCCATCCCATTAAAACACTGCCGGCTATTCGCTCTTCTATCTCCTATATGGCTGGGCCCAACTCTACCCTTAGACGATTGGCTACCTGCGGCCGCGGAATATGCCTGGGAAGCCATCACCCGCACCAACCACGTGCGCCAAGTGACACGTAACGGTCTATAGGCCTCACAGGCGCACCAACGACAGTTCTACAATTCTCACCATAGGGACGTGCACTTTTCCCCGGGTTCTCTCGGGCTCCTCTGGTCACACGCTCAGCGTGTGGGACTGTCTGAGAAACTGCTGTCGCCCTACACTGGGCCATTCTGTATCGTTCGCCAAGTGACAGATGTCACGTACGAGATTGTCCCAACCGATCCAACAAAGTCATCGTCAGCTACGAGCGACACCATTCACGTGGCTTGGATAAAGCCCTATTATCCCCCTTTGACATCATCTGCGTAGATTTAGCCCCAGGGCGATGCTTCTACCGCCGGGGGTTATGATACATAACTGCCTCTAAAAGCGCCTGCATGAAAGAGGAGGACGAAGTTAGTTTTTTGGCGGGTGCGGAACTGGCGCCATCTTGCTTGTCATGTTCTGTGTGTTGTGAATAGATTAATAAAGAAGTTACTCGTAACACTAATAAACATGAAGTGATGCACGCTTACATAACTTATAAACAATTTATTTAAAAACCTATTTTCAGCTTCATCGTGATATCTGATACAGTATTTTGTGACGAGAAATAGTTTAACCATGAACATATTATGCCAGTTGGCAGTTTATCCCTCACAACCTGGTGAATGGTTGCTAAAAGATATGGTTATTAGAAATGTTGACTGGGGGAGAGTGATTGGTAAATAAAAAGCAGAGAAACGTGAGCCCTGTAACTGTCTCTCAGGGGGAGGACACTTCACCTTCGCTCACGAGTAGGGGGGGGGTGGAAGGATTAAAATGATAGGATTTAGAAGTATAGAGACAGAAAGGGGGAAGGACAGAGGGTGGCGCAGGGTCAGCGACATTCGAAAGTAAGGAGAAGATAAGAAACAGTGACACGGTCGCAGGAGTCCGAGGACGGGGCACCACTCGGCGAGAGCTCTTGTTGGCGTCAGCGACGGCATAGGGCGAGTCCAGATGGCCAGAGCTACGCTGTCGTTGGAGATCGCAGGAGCACATCCAGTTGGCACGAAATCTAGAAAGCCAGTCATGTTGACTGCCTTATATTCGTTTCAAATATATCCTTGCAGCGTTCCGCCAGCCACTTTCTTTTCAGTCTTTTTTTCGGCTGTGCAAATAACCGCACACATGCAACCTACTGCTCTGGCTGTGATTTTCACAGAAACAGAGCCACATGACTCCGTGGGGTAGCTGACTGGCAACGGGACAGCGTTCGCAAAGAAGGGAAACCGACAAATAAACAACAACCCAAAGAAATAGCACCACGACTGAAAGGAGACACAATAGGAGGTTGGTGTAAATAAAGACATATGCTTGGCAGGCTCGCAAAAGAGATCTTTTTTTCTTTGGTTCGAACCAGGATCCGCGCAATTGACGTCAAATGAGAACGGCACCGAATGAACCGCAATGAAGCAGAGGAGAGGAGAGCGCTAACACAGCGTTGAAGGCGGAGACCGGCCCTGTCACCCCTTTGCACCCCTCGGAACGGCTTCTGCAGGCATGGCACAGCGCCTTTGGGGAGGGGGTGCAAAAGGGAAAAGGTGGAAGAAGGAACAAAAAGGAGGTTGTGGGCGGCAGGTTCTCCGTCGATCTGCTAGCTTCACGTGAAAGCGAAATATCTCCCTAGATGACAAATTTCTCTTTTCCCTAATCGCAACCGACATTTCCTAGATCTAGGGAAATTTCCCCAGAGTTGGCAGCACTGAGAATACGGCAGCCTTGCTTTCGTGACGCCACTTGCATCATCCACCATGGCTGCACCAACTTTTAGTCGCAATTTTAAGATGCAAATTATACACAAGAGTGCCACCGGGGGCACCAATTCGTAATTTGCTTGTCCTAATTATGCGTTTTTACCATTTCTTTAACACTGAGCTTCAAAACAAAGGGAATAACGCATAATGTCCACAGCAAAAGCACAGAAATCACGGAGTTTCTAGCAAACAACATAAACTGTTACTATGAGTGATGTCATCACGTAGGTGGCGCCACGGTATGTCCTCGAGGTTAATAGGTGTATATATGGTCTTTTCTTTCACAATTGAGAAATGAGTACTCTGTCATTACCTCAACCGAGGCTGTGACATAAGGTGAAGCTCTTATGAAGGGTGACTTGGAAATTGTGGTCTATATCGTGAATTTCGTCCGTGATAGTGAGAGAAGACTGAAGCCTGCGTGGACGCATGATAAGTACAATACAATCACCCTATGCATCCTAGTATTCAAATTATCAGTGAGAAAATGTAGGGGGATGCAGAAGAGGCTAACACTTTTGTTATCTTTCACATCTTTTTTGTAATATTGCGCTGGTCAGTCAATTATTGCGACTGGCCATCCAAAGTTTTATTTTTCCCACCAGTATCAATGCACAAGAGTATCTTGCGTCTCTAAACTGGTGAAACTGAATCTTATGTAACAAATCAGTGCTTAAATTTCCGCAATACGATCAGCACTGCCGACAGACTGCGTTCAAGCTGAAATACTCGTAACAACGTGTTCACGACTCTATCGCATAATAGCAGTGCAGTAGCAATTCATATTACGCTGCAATTTCTCAGAAATTATCAAGTCCAGCTTACCGGCTCACTCTTGCTGACCAGTCTAAGCTTCCGCCACAGAGTGATGAACAAGCCTGATGTTAATGGTATGTTCTTGACGCACTGCTTGCGTCCACCTGAAATGACATTTCAGACCGCATATACGTTCAGCCAAGACTATTTTTATGTCATCGTCATCTCCATCAAAACCGATTTGAGCCAGTGTATTCGGTGCACCTGCTGTATAAAAGTTAGCGTTGATATATTGCGTGCAATTTTCGTAATTGAAATTTTTTCAAATAAAGAAGTGCGAGACAGCAAATAATAATAATAATAATAATAATAATAATAATAATAATAATAATAATAATAATAATAATAATAATAATAATAATATTAATAATAATAATAATAATAATAATAGTCGAAGTTTGCGTCCCAAATATCCCGTGGGATTTTAAGGGATAGCGTAGGGCAGGGCTACGGAAGTATTCACCGTCTATAGTGTTCTTTACATGCATTGACATCGCTTTCTACACGAGCCTCTGGCAGTTCGCCTCCCCCGAAATGTGAACGCCGCAGCCGAGATGGAATCCGCTACTTTCTTGCAAGCAGCCGATAGCCAAAATAACTGCTTCACTGTGGCGAACAAAGCAGCAATACACTGAACACGGAGTGTAGAGTTGCAAATTCTCTCTTTGTGTGTGTGTGTCTGTGTGTGTGTGTGTGTGTGCTTGTGCGTGCGTGTGCGTGCATCTTTGTGCACGCGTGCGTCAGTAAATGTGTTTTTCCCGCTTTATTGGGGACCTATTGCCAATAGTAGTGGTTAGTGAGTGGTATGGCAAGCATTGTTTTAAATAACAAAACGTGCTTCACTATAAAATTATACTTTTCGTGTCTTCCTTCATCAGCCTCGTAACAAGCTGCTTTATTACGTAGCTCTCTGTAGGGTGGTACCTGCACAGGCTTTACCAACTTGACAACGATTGTCTGGGTCTTTTGTATATAGAAATGACAAATAAAGTTCCCCTAAAACGGCAAGGTACAGAGTGTGAAAGTAAAGTTCTCAGCTTTCTTTTGTCAGACAGAACAGTTGCTTACATATCTGAGTTGGAGGAAGTATCAAATTGTGCTTAGTGAAGGAGAGGAGAGGCATATAATTGTTAGTGATTAGTTACCAACACAGTCAAAAAGCTCAGTGAATAAAGTAGTTTTTCTTCCTTGATGGTGTGCGTCTCTTTCTCTTTTAGTAGGCATGTACCAACTAGCCTAACAAAAATTTAATAAACGAAGAACTGTTGTACCAGAAGAACAGTAGAAAGGGAACATAAGTGGCACAAAGAAAAGTTGTGTGGGAAACGCCTCACTACTACAGAAACATATTTTGCGTGAATAACTAACAGTAAGGGTGCCAATTTTTTTTATTCACTGATTTGACAGATATGTGGGGTTTAATGTCGCAAAACCACATTTCTTTATGAGAGACGCCATAGTTGAAGGCTCCGGAAATTTCGACCTGCTGGGGTTCTTTAACGTGCAACCAAATCTGAGAACGCGGGCCTACACCCTTTTTTTCCTCCAACGAAAATGCAGCCGCCACTGCCGGGATCCAAATCCGCGACCTGCGGCTCGGCAGCCGAGTACTTTAGCCCCTAGACCACCACGGCGGGATGGCTGCCAATTTTCTAAATTACATTGCTGAAGCAGGTTGTAATAATAAAGCTCTATGCCCTAGCCTTAAGTTTCCTTCATTAACGTAAAAGTTTTTCTTCAGGACTAACTGCGCTGGCGCCAAATCTAATACATGCAAAACAGAGAACTTATGTTATGGTACAGCCTAGTCAGAACAGAGCACAATGAATTTTGTTTTTATGTATTTGAGATAAAACTATCTCCAAGCGACTGTAGCAAACAGAAATACAGTTCGTATGATTTTTTTTTTGCTAAAGGGACACTGAAGCACTTCACAAAACGAGGTTATGGTGTAATGATACTTCAGTTCGCGCGGCAAACTAAAAAATCAAGTCGCAAATTTTCATAAGCCAATCGAACTAACATAATTTTGCCGAATACACATAACGGCCGAGTCACGCTGGCGGCAAGCATGCTTCGCCGTTTGACGTTCTCAGGCAGCCGTGCGCGGCCGTTTCCTACGCACACGTCTGCCATTTTTTGCCGTCCTAAAAATGAGTCCAAGACCCATTTCTGCGCCGTTCGCCGTTTGCCGGAGAGCGACTCAGCCAATCAGTGACGGAGGAGTGACTTGGTTGAGGCGCATCGTCTGCTTTCATCTCTCCGCATTGCATGCGTCTGCCGCGAGACACTTCGAGCTTCTTGCTTCTTGCTTCTGGCTTCGCGGTTTTTACGTTGTAATGAATGAATGCGTAGTTCTTGCAGAAAGGAAAAAAAGCATTTAACTCCTGTCTGCCTATAGGTGACACGGTGCAGTGACTTGCAGGGGATAGGAGTAAGGGGATAACATAAAGAAGAAAGAGCACTGGCCGCACAGGAGCGGAAAAAAGTTGAGACCAGATGGGAAATATGTGGACAGATGGGAAATATGTGGAACGTGGTCAAAACGGTCAAGGGAGTCCAAAGACGGGGCATCACTCAAGAGATCATGTATGGCAGGCCGATCGGCCAGAGATACACGGGCGTTGGAGATCATGGGCGACACAACCGTTCACTTTGAAATCTAACAGGCGAGTCTCTTTCACGCTATGAATGTGGATGTCATAGTGTTCTTCTCTGGCTTGAATCTAGAAAGCATCTTCGGTATTTACAAAAGCACAGCGTAACACCAAACGTGTCCCAAAACTAGCGCCCGGACCAGTGGCGCCAGCTGTGCAAGGTTAGAAACAATTAACAAACATGCGATATATGCACTCCGAGACTCTGCAAAGTTTGTAAGCCTACAAATAGACAATTTGAGCATGGATCTCAAAAACGATGCCGAATAGATTAGAGCGCTGTGTTGGTAAAGCTGAAAGACACGAGTTCAAACGGAATGAAAACGCCCATTCAGAGCTTAAATGCTATAGACCCGATCCCGTACGACGGCGGCTTCATATATTTTAGGTGGTCGACAACTGCAATCAGGAGAGGGGCCATTTTTGTCAGAGGCAGAAATACCTCGCCGGCGAAGTTTGCCACGCCCTTCGAAGGAGTGGTTCACGCTAGCGGGAAGCGGCTAGCCCTAATTATTAAGGACGCCGTTGTGGAGAGCTCCGGGGAGCCGAGTGAGTTTTGAGCCAGGAAGGAAGCACGTTTTTGCACTCGCGTTCTTACCCGTATCCTCTCTCCGTGGCTTCGCGCGCAGCCCTTTTAAGGGCTGCAAATGGCGCCTCAGAGAGGTCACTAGAAGAAAACGCTGCAGGAGGATGCAGTCGTGGCAGTTTCAGCATCGACATCGGTGCCCACTCAGCCGCAGCAGGCACGATACAAGCCTGTACGTCTAAAAACATAACCCAGCCACACGAGGACAGCAGCCATCACATTGCCGCTCTCTCACCGGCTCCGAGCGAAAGGGAAGAGCGAACTGGAACTTCTTCCTCTCCTACCACCGCCATGGCTTCCTGCAAGCGATACCCCCCTCACAGCAATCACCTCCCTTCGCCTATTAACCACTGTGGCTACCAAGCATACGGCGACCACCCCAAAGGCTAGTGCGCATCCACACACATCTCCGCGCCCCGAAGGTCCCCACATCGTTGGCGACTTACCTCCGAGTGACCGCGCGGCCACCATTATCTATCGGCCTGTTGGGAGGAAGAACAGCTTCCTGGCTTCGTCGAGGGATGCGATCACCGCTTTCCTCTCGGGGTTCTTGGGCACCCAACGTGTGCGGGTGAGTTGCAGGCGCAACATGGGTGTGGTTGAAACTCATCCCACCACCGATCTCATCGCCCTTCTGCAGGTTGGGACGATCTCCGAGATTCAGGTTCAGGCTGAACAACTGGACCTGAACACCTGTGTTGGAATAGACTTTGGAGTGGACCGGACGATTACTTTCGAGGACTTGCCGATAACATAGCGTGACCAGTGCCACTTGTGTCTTGTGTGCGCAGAGGCACCTGCCTCATGCTCACCTCTGCGTAAACCACCGTCCCTCCGGATATACTGCTCTAGGCAAAGACGCCCTGTTCGTTCTCACCAGCCCCGGCCCCTGCAGTGTTTTCGTTGCGGCCGCTTCGGGCATGCAACCGTCAGCTGCTCGAGAGACGAATGGTGCCTACACTGCGGCACCAAGCACGCCCTAAGATAGCGTGCAGCACAACATCCTCGTTGCATAAACTGTCGTGGAAAACATTCCGCAACTCAGCTGCTTCTAGACACTCCAGCGCAAGGCCACGGTCATCATGACCTCATCTGACGGCACCGTGACTCACCGCCAAGCCTTGCAACACGCCAGGACTTCTGGTAGCAGTGAGACTGTCATCAAGGTCCGCTCTTTCCGGGAGGTGCTCACCAGTACACGCGGCACGACCTCGAAGCCACCCATAAATTTACAGAGAGAGCGCCCATCGTCCCAACGAACACGACGATGGCTTCGCCTCCTCGGACAACTCAGCTGGCCTTTGCCATCGTCGCCAAGCACTCGACAGGGATTCAAACATTGCATGCTTATTCGCAACCACCGGCCACTGCTACCGTCCCCAAGAGTGCGATGACGACACCGCTCACTTCCTCGACGCCACCGGCACCTGCCGGCCCTTCGTCAGCCACAAAGACAGACATGCTACTCGCGAAATTAAGTACCGTGCTCCTGATGCTCCCAGTCGACTTTCCGGAGCTGCGATTTCATGCTCCGGCCTTAGGATTTGCCTTCTGTAGTGGTGCAACCACCATGGACAACTGAACATACTTTGTGAGTTTGTAAGACCCCACTTTTTTTTCTCTCCCGCGTGAAATCGTGCGCAACACCGTGCCCCGGCTTTGTCGATGGTCTTCTCGGCGTCTGCGGGGTGCGTGCGTGTGTTCTTGCACGTGTACGTGAGGCGAATCGAATGTAACTATTTTGCTTCTTCTCTTGCTTTTTCCTAACCACTTATAGAGACCGCAAAACTTGCGGGAGTCATCAGCCGCGCCGTAATTCCGCGTCGCAAGTCCATTTTGACACTGCACAAACACAGATATG